GACAGCTCTGACAGCTGATCGTTGAGAGGTTGTAATGGAAGAAACAGAGTTTTTTGGCTTTATGCACATTACAGGTTTATGCCCATTACAGGTTCTCCAGTAGTAAATAAATAGTAAGTAAATAAATGAATAAAATAAATTGAATTGAGTAGCTACAATTGATTGACTGACTGTAATCTCGGCCCCATTGGACACACAAACAATCTGTGGGAACCAAAATCCTGACTGGGTTGTAGGCGATCAAATACTTCTTCACTGAATGACATGCAAATCAACTTTTTTTGGATTTTTGCTTTATATTCTGTCTCTCTGCATTAAAATCAAATGGCCAAATAATGAGGGACTGTTCACAAACTGGATCAAATAACTATTACCCTCAGTATAAGGCCTCTTGCTTCTCTTAAACCATCTGCTTCTCCTACTACACGACGGGGGAGTTTTTCAGGTTTTTCACTGGAATGAGGCCCGTGGTTCTTGCGTGATGCCTATCGGGGACGTGATGTAACAAGTGAGGCAGGGCGCCACCTCCCGATTCTGACATACCAGAGCGCGCTCATTACGCAACACTCCAAATATCCAATCGGCAAAGAAGTCTGCCGGTCTCAGTCTGCGTGCAGCTGCCGCTCAGAAAGGCGAAGAAGGCATGTCGTACACTAAGTTTGTAGCACCCTTGGTCAGGGCAAACTCCGGCAGCATCCGAAAACTGCGGATTTCGCCTGCGAGATGCCGCTCAACAGTCGCATCCACCAAAACTCGAGAAGAGAAGGAGCAGCAGCAGCAGCAGAAGACGAATGGCTGCACCGTGGTAGAGGCTGCGCCGGTTGAACTCATCAGCCAGTCTAGAAAAGCTGCCAAAGCTCCGCTGAGTAAAACCCACATCGACTTCGAAAACACACAGGAAGCCTATAAGAGCAAAGGTAATATTGAGCTGCTCCGGAGTCTGTTGGTCTTCAAGCTGTGTACGTTTGACATCCTGGTTGACAAGAACAAAGAGGTGAGTTTGGGATTGATCGGCCCGATAACGCATTCTCTGTTAACCCTACACACACGTGCGTTCAGATCAGCACCAAACCGGTCAATGAACTCTCCGCGTTGGCGCGCTATGAATGTGTTTCCGCTTTTGACTCGTCGAGGTGAAAATGAAAAAGGGGCTGTAAACCACTCAGGCAGAGTAACCTGTTGTTTTTCTTGTCCCTGTCATGTTTTCAGCTGATGGATCTGAGCAGGAAGCTGCTTGGACAGTGGATGTTTGAGAAGCTGATGAAGATGACCTTCTATGGGCAGTTTGTGGCAGGGGAAGACCACAACTCCATCAAACCGTTAATTCGGAAAAATGAGGCCTTTGGTGTGGGGGCAGTTTTGGACTACAGCGTGGAAGAAGACCTGACACAAGAGGAAGCGGAGAAGAAGGAGATGGAGTGAGTAGCAAATACACACGTAGGCTGATTTCTCCTTAAGGACTGTGGTGCGCACAACTTTGCAAATGCCATATAAGATAAGAGATAAGATAAACCTTGATATATGTGTGTGTCAGATGAGATTTAGTGAGCTGCATACCCAGGATTGTTCAGCTCACTAAATCCATAAAAGCCAGCTGAGTCAAGTTTATTTTGTATGGCACAACATCACATGGTGTCATCACAAGTGTGTAACTGCACCACATCATAAAAACCCAGAGAAATCAGAAAACTGTGGAAGAGAGATCCTCTCCATTACTTGTCTCCATGTGTGGCTGTAATAGGAGCCGCACACTAGAAGAGCAGCTCCAGGACTGAAAAAAAAATCACAGTAATGGATATTTTAGCAGTGTTAGTACAACAAGTTCATTAAAAGACTGAGAAACTGTAGTATGTGTATTACATGATTTGTATTAATATCTTTAATAGTGAATTAAATTAGTAATTTGACTGTTAGTTTCCACAGAAGTATTTAGGTCTATGTCTCCATGCATATAGCTCATGTTTTAGAGCCTCTCCTCTCATTTTGCCTCTTCTCTTCGGCACATTAACTAACCATATGCACATATGAAAAAATGTAGTTGTGATATTTGAAATGCTCTTGGTTAACCATTGCCTGTGTCTCTGTACTAAGTTGTCCCTCTGGAAATTATCACTTAAGTTCAAGTTATGTGTCCTACTTGAGTGTCAAAACTATTCCTCTGGGCTGCACTTTGATATCAGTGTCCTCTTATCTTATCACCTCACAGACGGCTTCTGTTAGGCTTTTTATCAAAGCAGTGCCAGTCATAACATGTAATCAAAACCTAATTTGTTTGTGTTATTCTCAGGCAGTTCAACAGTGCTTGTCCTCTATTGGCTCGCTAAGACAGGCCTCCCTGCTCTGATTGGTTGAGCCAGTTTTTCAGAGATGGGATGGGCATCATTGAAAGGCCTCATGGGTTGCCATGAGAGTTGCTTTCAGGAGGCACATTGAGGCACACTAGCAAGTGTTACACAATATTCTGTGATTTAAAATACCCACAGTGCTCTACTTAGGACTATCCCAACACACACAAACAGACACAGGAGGAACTGAACTGCTTTTTCTGATAAAGACCAATGATGCCTCATCATGCTAACTAACAGATGCTAACACTAAGGATATTTCCTCCGTACTTTTTTTTTTTTTTTTTTACAAGTTCTAAAAAAAATCTGTTAGTTCATTTAAAAAAACAATCAAAAATCTAGTTTTGATTTTTATTTTGGTTAACTAAAATGTTCTTTCAAATCAAGTTTTAGTTTTTAGTTTAGTTTTAGTTCACCTTGGCTATTTGCCTTTGTTCCTTAATGCGTCTCTCACGTCGCAACATAACTTGAAAAGCAGGTCATTGTCACGGTTGCATAAGATTTCATTGTGACTATTAAAAGAACGAAACAGTGCCTTTTATCATCATGTCATCTGTCTTTTTGAAACTTTTCAGACCTTCCACTATTCATTGTCTTATTACTGTTAGTATGCTGTGTTATAAAAGTTGCTATTGATCTGACTGAAAGAAACAAAGATGAGACAAATTTTCTGTTGCCTTATTTTTTTTTACTGTTCTAATGACAATTCTTTCTTTCTTTCTTTCTTTTTTTTTTTACAGTTCATGTGTTTCTGAGGCAGAGAAAGAAAGTCCAGGTATGTGTGTCAGTAAAAAACAAAACTAACAAACTTTATTTTATTTTGCATACGTCTCTGACTAAAGAACTGCCGTGGAGTAAGCTGACAAGGCTGAGCTGCTGACTAGTCAGCTGCTTCAGCTGTTCGGTGGTTTAGTATGCATAGTTATGCATCCACGTAGTCTAGTCAGGATGTTACTGGTTATAACTGGATCTTGTGGGGGCTGAAATGTCAAGTTCAACAGACACTGCGGGGTGAAGCTGGGTAGTGTTTAAGGGGTTGATATTTAATGTGTTTGTGTATCATTTACCTGTTGGCAATCACTCTGAGACAAACTTATTTTATACTTACTTCAAATCAGTCTTTGTGGGAGCTGAATTAAAAGTGCTAATGTGTTACATGCACATTGATTTGCAACCAGAGTGGCTAGTTTTAAATGAATAAAGTAAAGCTTGTTTTTGATATCTATTGTGTTCTCAGTAATTGTAACAAACTAAAAAAAATGCCCCCCTTTAGGATGGAATTCCTTCTGATGAAAATCCATTCACGTTGTAGGATAAATGATAGCAGTAAAACTACTCCTCTTAAATCAAATGCAATCAGTTAAGGCAGCATTATAGCCATCGTGTTACTTCAGGGCTCTCGGATTCGTCGGAGCTCTCCAATGACCATCCCGGATTTTCCACTGCCTCCTTTTCCTCCCTCGGT